CAGGCTCACTTGGTAGGCAGAGTCTAGGATAGACACCAAGAATGGGAAAAGTTGGGGCCAGCTGGGGTCCTAGGCTGAGCTACCTTCTTGGAGGGCAATGGCACAAAGGTAAATTCTGTGCCCAGGTAGTTCTCTAGTGGCAGGCACAACCATGGGGGTCTCTTCAGTCCTCAGCCTTCTTCAACCCACCCCACTCCATTTTTTTTTTCCTTGGGCTCTAGCATCTAGGAGGACCTTAGCATTAAAGATACTCCAGTTAAAGATGTTTTCATCCAGATGCAGTGCTCATTGGTGGGGACCAGAGGGTCCCTGGGTCTCCCCCTGGAGGGAGTTGGTCAGGAGATGTAGAAGGTCCTACTTAACTCAAGGATGAAGGGGCCAGGCCAACGTTTAGGTCAGATGGCATGTACAAAGGGGAGGGGATACTGCTTAGGGGACAGATTTCCAAGGAAGAACCCTATTTTAGAAGCATTTACCTGCCAGGCCTTGATGGAGAAGATGAAAAAGTAACTATCCTCTAATATTAAGTGACAACTAAGGTATAGCCTACAGTAGGGAAGTGTCTGTTTCTCACTGCTTTGACTTCTATCCATTCAGGATCCCTCCACTGATGTGAGAATGTGTGGTTAGTCTTCCCTGTTGAAGTACTGTTTTTGGTTTTTACTGTGAGGTTTAGGTAGGGACAACCTTAGCCTTAAAGAAGTCATTGAGTAGTGGATGAAGTAGCCTAACCTACTCACTCTCCTTTCTCCCACCCCTAAAAATCCCCCACCCCACTCTAGGCTCCCTAAGGTTAGAATGCTCTTCACTGGATTCCTACTGTTACTAGCTGCTCCTGCTTCCTCTGTGGAAGGGAAAGTTTTCTGACTCCTATACCAAGACAGTTGGGCAAAGCAGAGGAGACAGCTTTGCTATTACAGAGACTATCTCCAATTAAGCACCACAGAAGCCAGAAATGGAGTTGTTGATCAAGTGGCAGAGTGATAACCTTGAGTAAAAAAAAGTTCAAGGACAGCACCCAGGCCCAGAGTTTAAGCACCAGGTCTGATACAAAAAAAGAGAGTGTGTATATGTTCTCAAAATGGTCTCATCACGGACTACTTCATGGTACAGATTCCAGATGGCTCTCTTTCTCTGGTGAATGACCATTCATTTGGCATGCCTTTTCTCCCCCTCACCACATCACAGGCCCATATGTGACTATTTCCCCTGATAACTTGGTTAGAAGACACATAGATATTATTACACTTTCACACAAATACACATTCTATAGAGGAACAGCTGTGGAGACACACATTCATCTAATCAGAGAATATGCAATTCATACACATACCTTCCCACAGTTGTAGAAACAACCCAGATTCCTCCTCTCTCCTCCAACAATCTTGCCAACATGTGTTTCCCTAGCAGTTGTACTCCAATAGTCTAACACAGTGCCTGGTACATAATAGACTCTTAATAAATATTTATAAAATAAATTTAACAATTATTCCTTTAAAGACATCTGCACAGCCTTCTCAACCCTCACTGTCACACAAGCTTTCACATTCGGCCTCCCCTTCTAGACACACAGTCCCACAAACACAAAGTAATTAACTTACCACATATACCCCTAAGCTAAAGGACAACCCTTGGCCTTGGGGTCTCTCCCAGAGCGGGGAGGGAGCTATGTGGGATCCAAAGAGGCCTCCCCCTAGGGCTCCCTTCCTGTCTGCCTCTCCCCCAGCCCTAGCCTCAGCCCCAGCTGCTCTCCTTTTAATTGGAAGTTACATGTGTGTATGTGTGTATGTGTGTGTGTGTGTGTGTTTTAATTCTGTAGGCCAGAAGATGGTGCTGGGAGGGAGATTGCCAGGTGGCTACAGGACTAGAGAGAAAAGTCTGCAACTTCCCTAGGTATATGTGTATTCCATATAGGAGCAACTCATCCTGAGTTGAGTCTGAAAGTAGTGTTAAGAGTCCAGGCTCCCACCACCACTTCCAAACTTTTAGTGCCTCCATTTTTTCATCTGCAAAGTGGAGGGAAACATAAAAAAACATACCACGAAAATATCAAAGGGTGAAAGACAAGGTAATTATTGTGCTTGAAGGCACTTGGGCCATCTCAGGTGCTTTGTGAGTCCTAATGTCTTTCTTCCCCTCCTCTTCCCTAACAGGGCTAGTCCAGTAGAAACATAAAATATGAGCTCTGTGTCAATATCATTCCTATGAAAACTTTCCAATCTGCAGCTTGGTGCTCAGGTAATACTGCAAAGAGCAGCAGTATGTGTGGGTGGGAGGGAGGGATCCTGACCCTCTAGCCTAGTCTTTCTAGGTGAGACTTAAAGGGATGCCCAGACTCTCAGCAACCACACTACTGGAGGACAAATTGCCAGGGAGGTCAAGTCTTAGTACCTTAGCAGAACTGGATTGGGATACAAGCAGATTTGTAACTGGAGAGAGGCTGGGGAAGGGCAAGGGCAAGCCAGACTATCTCTGAGTTGTTGTGGGATTTGGATAAGACATGGACAATTTTAGTGTCCCATTAGGCAGCTATAACTTCTTCCAATCTTCGACTGAGCAGTTAGAGTAAAGACTCTTCCCAGGTCTCCTGGATGATGGGTGCCAAATCTGCAGAATTGGAGAGGTGTGTAAGACAGATGCTTAAAAGACTGGATGAGGCAGAGCTGGAAAGCCATGGCACTGGAAAGGTATATCTCTGAAGCAGTGAAGGGAGGAAGGGGGGAGTGGTTAGGAACACTCAATTGGTTTCTGCAAGGGACAGCGTAGTAAAGAAAAGCTGTTATGGAGATAACTGGGAAAAATAAGATGTTAACCACAGCAGGCAGAAAGTGTTTATGCTAATGCTGCAGTGCACCTTTCCCTCTTTTTCAGCTCATACAGGAAAAATAATTCTGTATTGGATTCCCAGAATAATCGCTGTCTGTAGGACTCTGGACAACTTCATTCACCTCCTTAAGTCTCAATTTTCGTCTTTTAAGGCATATAACACATGAACCACTGTATCTTGTCCTTTAAAATGTACACTGGTGGGTTTTAGTATATTCACAAAGTTGTGCAACCATCACCACTCCCTAAAACAGACTATTTTAACCATTCCGAAAAGAAACTTGGTGCCCATTAGCAGACATTTCTCATTGCTCTCAACATCCAGCCACTGACAACCACAAATCTACTTTCTGTCTCTATGGGCTCATCTATCTTGCCTATTTCATATAAATGGAATAATATAATATGTGACCTTCTATGTTTTATTTCTTTCACTTAGCATGTTTCCTAACTTCATCTTTATAGTAGTATGAGCAGCACTTCTTTTGATTGCTGAATAATGTTCCATTCTGTTTATTCATTCCATTTATTAGTTGATGGATATCTGAGATCTCTATATTTATTGATTGTAATGAATAATATTGCCATGAACATTCATTTCTATTTTATTAATTATGAATTTTGGAACACATCTAGTAACTTCACAGGCTTGTTACGAGTTTTAAATTTGATGTGATGCAGTACCTGTCACATAGTAGTTATTCAGTAAATATTTATATCTATATCTGCTTTAGTTCCTCAAGATAAGAAATTTTCTGTCTCACCTAGGTTCACACAACTTCCAAAGTAAATTATGGGACCTTCTGGGTCTCTGGATTTGGGGAGAAGGAGAGAACTGGTGCAGAAATAGAGTTCTGTCCTCGTGGTGTTGCTCAGTTTTGTTGCTTTTTTTTTTTTTACTATCAACTACTAACTTCATATCTGGCTTTGTCTTGAGTGGGCCTTGGTCCTCTTGGATAGAGATCAAGATTTTCTCCATGTTGATGAGTTTTCATCCAGCAGCCAAACTTCCAGGCTAACCCACAAAGGTAAGCCCAGTCTAACTCCTCCAATTGGGCTGTACTAAACCATAAGCTCTGAATTTTGGTGTCTTCCCATCTGTAAAATTGGGATAGTACTTATCCCAAAGAATTAATGTACAATTTTCATAGTTCTCCAAGTATTTACTTACTTCTGGCTTGTTGTATCTGCTTCTTTGTTTATTGTCTGACCTTCTCTATTGAATATAAGCTTTATGAGGTCAGGAGATTTGTTTTGCTATGCCCTCATTTCTTAGAATAATGTCAGACACCAAGTAAGTACTCAAATATTTGCTGAAGCCATTCATTTATTCACTCAAGATGAGCATATTTTATTGGTTTGGGCTGTATGGGGGGGCAGGGAGATGAGTCAGCTACTTCCTGACTTGAAGAAGATCTCTTCAAGTGGAAATGATAGACATGGCTAAAACAAATAGATGAGATTTGATAAGTAGAATTCGAGCTGTCTTCACATTCTAGCATCTTGTCTGGTAGAAACAGGCCTTCCCATATTGTAGGATCTGAAACTGACCTGCAATAGACCTTTCATCAGTAACCCATGCCTTTCTCTGAGTTTGTCTCCTGGGGGGGCAGACCTTTCCTTACAGGAGAGGCCAAAGAGAGGAAGCAGAAAAAGGGAGTTTCCTCCTTTTCACTCGGGCTCTCAGCCAGGCAGTCACAGGCAAAACTTTGAAAAGGCCTAAATTTGTCCTGAGTGTACTTCCCAGATCCTAGCCTACATGCCCCACCCCTCTCCATTCCTTAAGCCCCTAGGCCTCCTTCCCAAGATTCCAAAATGATAAAATAACTACTTCCCCTCCAGGCAGTTCAAAGGCTTTTTGCCTGGAAAAAAAAAAGAAAGCTGTCCTGCTAGTTACTAGGTGGAAAGCAAATCGCTTAGATTCATTCAGACACTGTAAGACTGAACGGCTTCTGGAGGCATCTTTTCATCTAAAAGGAAAAGGACATATCTTGAGGAATATGCATCCTAGCAGCAAACCCCTAACCAGTTCTCATAACTTGTGCCTAAGAAGGAAGCCTTTCTTAATTCCTCCAAAGAGGCTGAGGTGGAGTGGCTGCTGATTTTTGTTCATAGGCCCTGTTTTAGGGACAAGCCTGAACTCACCAGCCTGCCTCGGGGACCTGGGCTCCATACCTTCTAACAAGCTGGACTTGAAGTTGAAGTAAATCGCCTAGTTGAGTGATAGGTGTCTCCCAGCTGAGCCCTTGGGGAGATTCTCCAGTTGGGCAGGACACCAGGTCCCCAGAGGCATCCAGGGGTGGACTCCTTTGCCCCAGTTCATTGTGAGGGGCAGCTCCTGCCAGACAGGAAGTGGGGAGTGTAGGGGGGTGGGGAGGACTGAAAGGGCCCTCTTTCCTCCTTCGGTCCAGCTCTGGGAATGGCTGCTTCGAGTTCTTTTTCTTCTTTTAAGCCTTTCTTCTTCGTTCCATCTTCTCTCTGCAGGAACTACTCCTATCCTTGGTCTCTGTCCCTCTGTCTCTGGCTCGTGCATCTGTCTGGGCTCCTAGCCTCCCTCCCTCTCCCCTCCCTTCCCCTCCCCCGCGCTGTCATTCACCCCGCTCCTCTCTGTGCACAGCCAATGGAGAGACCCGGCCGAAACGACGAGGCTCCCTCGCTCAGGGCTTTTTCGCCCGGTGATTGATGTCCCAGAGTCAACAGCAAACCAGCAGCAGGAGAGTGGAAAGAGAAGCCAGAGAGGGAAAGAATACTGCACCCCTTCTCTTCCTCCCCTCCCCTCCCCCTACTTGAGCCCTTCTGCGCACTTCGCCTCCAAGTCTCAGCGTAGCCGGGAGCCGCTGTCGCCTCGGCGCCTCTGCTCGCTTACCCCCAGTAGTCCATCGCGGACCGGCGCCGCCGCCCGGGCCCCCCCCGCGGGGGTCCGGGGCCCCCCAGCCAGCATGGAGCACCTGGGTCCACACCACCTCCACCCCGGCCACGCGGAGCCCATCAGCTTCGGCATTGATCAGATCCTCAACAGCCCGGACCAAGGCGGCTGCATGGGACCCGCCTCGCGCCTCCAGGACGGAGAATACGGCCTTGGCTGTTTGGTCGGAGGCGCCTACACTTACGGTGGCGGAGGTTCGGCGGCCGGGGCTGGGGCCGGGAGCGCGGGAGCCTATAGCGCTGGCGGCCCCGGCGGCCCGGCGGGCGGCGGCGGCGGCGCCTGCAGTATGGGCCCACTGGCAGGCTCCTACAACGTGAACATGGCCTTGGCGGGCGGCCCCGGTCCCGGTGGTGGCGGAGGCGGCGGGGGCGGAGGCGGCGGGGGTGCGCTGAGCGCGGCGGGGGTGATCCGGGTGCCCGCGCACAGGCCGCTAGCGGGAGCGGTGGCCCACCCCCAGCCCTTAGCCACCGGCTTGCCCACTGTGCCCTCGGTACCTGCCGTGCCGGGCGTCAACAACCTTACCGGCCTCACCTTTCCCTGGATGGAGAGTAACCGCAGATACACAAAGGACAGGTTCACAGGTGAGTCCGGCCCGCGCGCGCGCCGCGCCTGGCCGCGGCTCGGGCTCTGCGCTACCCCTCTCCCGCTTGGTGTGCCCCCCAGTCCCTTCTGAGACCCAGGTGGCTCGGCGCACCTCCGTGCTTCCCCGCCAAGTTCAGCCGCCGGGCTGGCTGTGTGCTCCGAGAATAGCTATGCTCAGAGAGTTCTGTGTCCCTCCGTCTCTTCTCCCGGACCCCTGTTCAGAGAAGCGATCCTTGATCTCCTCTAGGGACCTCAGGCCCAGTCAGGCCGAGGGAAGAAGAGGGCTGTAGATTCAGGGCTACCTTCCATGGACATCTGAGGCTTTGTGGGGTTCTCAAAAAGCATTGCGATGTGAGCAAAATGTGTTTCTTTTTTTCTTCTATCCCATCCGCCGTTTTCTTATTGAGGTGGAGATGCTCAGAATCAGATACAAGAAAAGAACAGGTTTTCTTACACACACTTGGGCGCCGTAACTCTGATGCCCACAGTCCTACCAGGCCCAGCAACAGCCCAGGTAGAGAAAGAGAGCTCTGAGGTCCTTCTTCCCCGACTGCTGGCTTCCTCTGGGCCGGTAGCAGCACAGGGCTGAGCCGCGCGCCCGGGACAGCTTACTCTATTCAGTCTCAGTGTCCTTCTCCCAGACGCAGCCCAGTTTTCCTGGCATGAATAATGTACCCCTGGCGGAAAACCGATCGGTGGTTGGGACAACTGCGGGGCTGTAGTGCACTCCAGGGCGGCTGGCTGAGACCCTCTCAGCTCCTTCTCTCCCTGCGGCTTCCTTTGCTCAGGCTTCCCGCTTGCTCCCCAACTCAGCTTCAGTCCAGGCACACATCTTCCCCCCACCCCTCACTTCGCACTCCCCTGGTTGCTCATCAAATTTGAAACGGCCATACACTCCGCCTTCCAAGCCCCCACACCCGGCAGCGTAACTGCTGCTAACCGAGCTGGGGTTCGCCTCTGTGCCCCACAGAGGTGAGGCAGGTTACAGGCCCTTTCTGGCTAGGATTGGACTCCCACAGCAAGACACACAAGTTCCAAAAGGTGTGTGTGTGTGTGTGTTCATGTGTGTTCCTGCATGCATGGGAGGCACAGCTTAGGACTAGACCAGGCTGGGCAACCCTCAGGTCCTCTGCTCCAGTTCTAGGCAACATGGCCGAGAGACTGTGCCCGGAGACTCTGATCAGGCTCTGAGACCATACTGAAATGAGACTGGAGCTCAACAGAGGCAGAGCGGCTGCTCAAGGTGGACTTCCTGAAAGGGCTTTCTCTCACTTTAGGGGCTCCATGCCCCAACCCAAGTCCTCTCAGGCCTGAGGAGGCAAGGTGTGGGTGCCTAGATCCATCTCTCCTGCCTAGGCCAGACTACTCTTGACATGCTCTGTCAGATAAATAAATGAAATGAAATAAATAAACACTCCTGGTGCCTGGGGCAGTGTATATGTGTATACATATGTATATATACATATATGTGCATGTGTGCATATATATACCCATATCTATGTATGTGTGTATATATCTCAAAGGTACCTACACAGGGCCTACCCAGAGCTACAGCCAATCCTACTCATGTGTTGGGCCTGAATTAGGTTCTAAGGGAGTGTAAGTGTGTAGCCTTCTTTTGCCTTGTGTCCTGTGTGCTTGTGTTTGTCTAGGTGTGCCTGCCAGCCTGGAGAGTCGGATCTGTAAGTTTGTGTCCATGTGTGTTGTGTAGGTATGGGGCTGTGATAGGATCTCAGGTCTGGAACCACTCAGGGGCTTTGATTACCCTCTGCCTCCTATTGTTGACCCTCCCTTCAGAGCCTAGGCCCCAAGGCTGTGGTGGTGCAATGGTTAGATGCCTTTCACTGCCCCTCTCCCAGGACGTGGAGAGCTCTGGCAGCTAGGAGGCAGTTAGAAAGCCCAGGGCTAGTGAGACCTCCGCTGTGAGGGCTGTCACGCGGCTGGAGTGGCGTCGGCCTGGCGGGCGGGAGCTCTTTCTGCTGCGGGCCTTGGAACTGAGGGGCTAAGGGGAGGGATCACGGCCTTGCTTTTGGGGGTGCAGCCCCCGCGCTCGTTCATTCGCGGGTAGTCCGGCCTGGGACGCCTCCTGACGCTCTGCCGCTTGCCTCTGCCGTCTGTCTGTCTCCCGCTCCAGTGGCCCTCTCACCCTTCACTGTAACACGCCGTATAGGTCACCCCTATCAGAATCGGACGCCCCCCAAGAAGAAGAAGCCACGCACGTCCTTCACACGCCTGCAGATCTGTGAGCTGGAGAAGCGTTTCCACCGCCAGAAGTACTTGGCCTCCGCGGAGCGCGCTGCCCTGGCTAAAGCGCTCAAAATGACCGACGCGCAGGTCAAGACGTGGTTCCAGAACCGGCGGACGAAGTGGAGGTGAGCACGCCGGGCCCGCCCGCCCGCCCGCCCGCCCGCCCCGGGGCACAGTCTCGGGTCGCTCTCCACCGGCCCTCGGTCCGGATGCACACATTCCCTCCGCTGGCTGCTTTCTCGTGGGTTCAAAGGAGCGTGCTTCTGCAAGGTTTTCAGGGAAACCAAAAGCCGTCCAAGCCAATAGTTCGGTGGGGCTGGAGAGGCCGGCTTCAGGGTTTCCGTAGAACAGCACGTTGTGTGTAGTGTGCCGGTGTGGATGCCGCTGATCTACGACCCTTGGCCAAACAGGCGTGTTAGGACAATTGTACAATCCGGAGTTCTGGGCTTATTCACTGAATAGTTAAGGGCTTGCTGTCTGTGCAAACTCCCTTTCACTGGGGCGAACCCCCTCTCGTCCCTGCACCGCAGACACAGAATGGCCCGCGCTTTGTTTCTGCGCTCCAGCCGGACTCCTGGCAGACGGTGCCCACCCCCAGGCCCGGGGCTGGTCCCACTGCTGCTTCCCCAGGCGCCCGGCCTCTGCGCAGCGGTCCTTCACCCTGCAGGGGCAAAAATCAATCCGCGCCGGCTGTGGCGAGGTTTCTTGGGTCCCACTGAAAGGGGGATCAATTAGGAGCAGATGGGTGTTCGTGAGAGACTTTTTCCCTTCTCCTGACACACCCGCAACTACACTTACAACACACTCATTAAAAAAAAACAAGATTCACATAAGATACTTCAGCCTCTCTAGTTTTCGTTTACTTCTTTTTTCCTGCCCTCCCAAACATTAAGGATCCCACACACTTGTTCCAGTCTTATTCTCTATACAAACTGGCACTTTCTTTAAGTACACCTTCTCGCACCCCTGCGTGTGCCGTCCTATATGTAGCCCGTACTCTGGTGTCACACACAAGCAGTAGGGACTTTCTCCCTCACCCAGGCCCCTGGTAGGGGAAGCGCTAAAGTCTGGACAAAGTCAGAGGCGCCGAGCAGGGCGGGCCTGGGGCGGGAGGAAGGAATTGGAGTTTCCTCTTTTTCTGAATGAAGGCAAGGAATCTGCCTGGGATTCCGCCTTGGGGGCCACAAAGGAAACCAGGCCTGTGAGTCTAAGGCCCCCTCCCCAACATTCCTATGGCTGGGGAAGGGGTGGGGAATGCAACAGCTTTGGGGGGCCCCCTAGAAAAAAAATAGTAAAAGAGGGAGCGTAGGCTTGCTGGGAGGGGTCGCTGGTATTTTCAAAGCCTACTACGGGTTGCAGCCTAGGGGAGGGGAGGAACCCCCACAGGACCTCCACCTCTAAGCTGCCGAAGAGAAACTGAAACACAAAAGGGCAGGACAAAGATTCCCCCCTTCCTGGAGGAGGGGAAAGGAGGAAAAACAGGTAGACTGGAGAAATCTTATGCATAATAAAAGACAAGATTGGATGGTTCAAGCCACCGTTTTCGTTTCAAATACTTTCCCTTAATTAATAGAGAAGGGAGGTGGGAGGTGGAGAAAAGGAGAGCTGAGACTGGGAGCTTGAAGTTAAGAGAACCATTCAGGGGCAGCGTGACTTGCCGGGCACCGAGGGAAGATGAGAGGTAGAGACACACAAGAGGGGGGCCTGCGGATAGGCGAGCAGAGCAGGCAGGCGGCAGCCGCTGGAAGAGGCCCTCCCAGGATTTGCACGGCTTCATCGATCGCCTACAAATTGCTTCTGGAGGCCCCGGGGACTCCCATTAGATCTGTCCACCTTAGAGACAGACGTTTGATCTCAATTGACAGGGTGGAGGGGCTGCATTAAATGGAATAAGTGAGTCATCGCCTCCCAAGACGGCCTTAGAGGAAGCTGGTGGGTCTGGAGAGAGCCCCATTGGGGCACAGGCTTGGCTCTGGAGATCTGAGGCCTGGGAGAGATTCCCAGAGAGAAAGGAGATATATCTGCTGACCCTAGCTTTTGTGCCCTAGGCTTGGGGCAGCATCTATCCGATCTCCATCCAGGCTGAGGAGAGGTGGCAGGTCAGCCTAAGCTCCCAGCAGCGCTACTGGGTAGGGGTGGTGGCCAGGTAATTTGGGCCTGGTGAGTTTTTCCCATTGCTCCTCTGGGATACTTACTTCATTTTTGAGGTCTCCTATCTTTGTCCAAATCAGGTTCCCCAGGAGGAGGGAATGAGTTAAAGGGTCCACACTGGACCCAAGGCTGCAGAAAGCAGCCAGTGTTCCTATGTGGAGGCAATCTGCCTGGAGCATGCGCGGGAGCCGGGTCGGTGTCCTGGCGGGTAACAGCTTGTTCCCGGTGCAGGCGACAGACCGCGGAGGAGCGTGAGGCTGAGAGGCAGCAGGCGAATCGCATCCTTCTACAGCTACAGCAAGAGGCCTTCCAGAAGAGCCTGGCGCAGCCGCTGCCTGCGGACCCACTGTGCGTACACAACTCCTCACTCTTTGCCCTGCAGAATCTGCAGCCATGGTCTGATGACTCCACCAAAATCACCAGCGTTACATCGGTGGCATCTGCCTGCGAGTAAGCCGACCTGTGTCATCCTGCAGGACCCCAGGCCTGGTGAGGGGCTACTGAGGCCTGGAAACCAGGCCTCTCCCCTCCTCTCCCAGCTGCCTTGAGCAGAGGCCTCAAGGGGGATGGAAACATTGTCGATGCCCCCCATGCTCTGCGGACATTATTCTGTTTTCCATGGAAAAGGAGAAAGGCGCACTGGGGACCGGGGTACTTGGCCCCTTCCCAGAAGCCTATGTGATGCCACATCCACCAGAACTGTTCAGAGTCCTCTCAGTTTCCTCGATTTCATTTTATTTTGATTTTAACATGGGACCCAGAGAGAGACCAGGGAGGTGGGGGGGAGGGTAGAAGAGCTTCTGGGATCCCCAGGGATGCCATCTAAACTTTTTCTGGGAAACTCCACTCTATTCCTGCTCCTCATTATACACATGGACACCGGTAAGACCACACAGAGGTAATGGTTCTGTCCCTTCAGACCATTCCCAGGGCTGTGCACAGGGACCCAGGGCAGAATGGCACGCACCTCACCATTAAACACAGGCCAAGGGTGACCCAGATTCATTCTGAACAGCATGGCCTGCCCCCTACTCACAAAGGCCAAGGCCACACTGTGACACACCATCCCACACATAACAGCCTCACTTGGCCTGCTAGCTTCACACCATGCATCCCAGCCATATCCAGATACACACAGCCAGGTTTCCACACAAACTCAACTCGTGTCTCCAAATTCTGTTTGTAGGGAGAGTTTAAGTTATGCACTTATAAGGTGTTTTCTGTGTAACCATTTTATAAAGTGCTTGTGTAATTTATGTGGAAAAAAAATAAAACTCTCCAGATCTGGAGTCAGGGCTGTCTGCTCCTCGCCCAATGTCTTGTGGGTACTTGGGTTTATTATAAGTTGGAGTTTCCGGAGCAGCCTTGGTTACCTGAGCTGGAGGGGCAAATGGGTAGGCAGGGCCTGTGGACTCTGGAGGGGAAAAAAAAAAAAAAGAAGACAGGCACAAAGAAGGCAGAGCTGTGGAAAGGCAGGATCTCCTGGGATTGCGAGTGTTTGAAAGCTTGTGGATGGATGTTGTTGGCTGTGAGGGTTGTGTGTGTATGTGTATGTATGTTTATGGTAGTGTGAATAATTGAGATATTACTGATGGTGAACATTTGTAATAATGTTTAAGTGTGTACTTACGTTTACAATTCTTATAAATGATTGTTTCTGCTTAAATTGCAAATTGAAAGTATCATCGGGCACTGGTGACTCAGGGCTCACATCTGTAATCCTAGCTACTCAGGAGGCTGAAATCTGAGGATCTTGGTTCCGAAGCCAGCCTAGGCAAGAAAGTCTCTGTGACTCTTATTTCCAATTAATTATTAAAAAAAATTAAAGCTGCAAGTGGAGCTATGGCTATAGTGGTAGTCTTCTAGCCTTGAGCACAGAGGCTCAGGAACAGTGCCCAGGCCTTGAGTTCAAGCCCAAGGACCAGCACCAAAAAGAATCATTGCCTGCATAGGTTTGCAGCAGGCTCTGTTTGTGTGTGTGTGTGTGTGTGTGTGTGTGTGTGTGTGTGTGTGTGTGTAAAACCATGCATAAATGTGGGAAATTTGTGTTATCACAATTGGGGAAAATTGTGTTATCCTTTTGTGATTGTATAGGTATTGTATTAATGTTTATGAGAGTAGATATTTTCTCTGTTATATGTGCAGATGTGATTGCATATCATCTTTGTGTATGAGATGTAATCATGTGAGCCATGTGTTTTAACCATCATATTTTACTTGATACACTATGTAATTGTGAGAGTGAATGTGGTAGGCAGTATGGATCATTGTGGGAAAATGTCCCTTTTGTAAGTGTGTGTGGTTGTGAGTTGATATACGCAAGCACTGATGACCTACAGTCCTTTGGGAATCTAAGGTGGTCCCTCACATTGTGAAGGACCAACCTCTTCTATGAATTCTGGGACTCTATCCTTCCCAGTAAGCGGCACAGAATAGGTATACATAATTAAGAATTAGAGTCAGAATTGTCTCTGGTGTTCTAAGTAGGACTCTGAGACTCCCACCATCATCTCATCTTGGCTTATACAAAATACACAGAAGTGACTTCCTGGAGGAGTGCCCCCCCATGCTGCTTTGATCAGAGGCACAGTAGCCACTCTCCAGAACATTCAGTCCTGACCCACCTGACCAATTGCAGACAAACAATTGATCTGGGCCTGCTTTTCTGGGAGAAGCTGAGTGGTGGTAGGTCTGGGGAGCTCACTAGACCAGGAAATAGTGAAAGTAGGGTAATAGGAACCTTGGTCTTTGCTATAGGAGAATAAAAGAGCTTTGCAGCTAGAGAGCAGAAATGAATGTGGTGTGGAGTCTGTGCAGGCTTACACAACTGTGTATTTTGTGTGTGTGGTGTGTGTGGATAGCCTCTAAAACCATTAAAGCCACCACAGCCACAGAGGGTTATATTACAAGGGTAAATTGTAGCAGCCTTCCACTCAAGGAAGCACAGGGGGAAATCTGGTGAGAGGAACTGAAGACTTGCTCATCTATCCCCTCACTTTTGGGTCTCTTGGAGTTGAAAAAAAGAGAGTTCTGAATCTAAAGCATTCCGAGAAGGGCTTTCCTGTTCACCATGGTGTTCAAGACCGGCCCCACCAACAAGCTGTGTTAAACTTGGGGAGAAGGTTTGACAACAGAGAAGGGTCTCCCACATTCACCGGAGTAAGCGCCCAGCATTAAGCAGAGCGAAAGCAGGAAATGACCTAGAAGCCGCAGGATCCTTTCACCTGGGCCAAATCTGGCTGCCCCTTTGCACCAGTGGGGACTGGAAGAGCCCAGGCCTCTTTATGGGCTGCGTTTTCCTTCCTCCGTTACCTGGGCTAACAAACCAGGGGGGTACATTGAGACCACCCTCAAGAGGCTTCCGTGTGTGGAGGCACCAGGGTATTTTCTGACTCTTGGAGTAATTCGGAAGGGAGCCGCCGTGGCCCCAAACACAACAGCCCCGAAGTGGATCCAAAGCCCAGGCTTTTCCGCTTCCCTTACAAAGACAAAGAAAGCGAAATTGGGTAACCCCCGCCGCTCCCCTTGCCACGATCGATCTCTCCTGTGATCGACAACCTCGCCAGTGAGTAAACTCAGGCCTGGAACCCCCTCAACCCTACTTGCTCTCGGACCCTGCCCAATTTGTCCAGTACTGGCGCAAAAGTGGGCGTTCCTCGTACAGGGTCCTCCTGGGGTCCAGACGGCCTTCACTCGGTCACCACCTGCCTGCGCCCGGGCGCTCTCCGACTCCTGGGCCCGGGTCGCGCGCTCTTCCAGGGCCCCTCTTGATTTTCCTAGGCCCCGGGCGAGGTTTCCCAGAGATGCCAAACTCCCTGAGGCGTTGGGATCCTTGGCGCTGAGGGTCTATGCAAGACTCCTCGATGTCCGCCAGGAATTCGTTGGGATGGAATCTCAGCGAATCCCGCTTCCGCCGAGCGCGCGGGAGCAGCGGAGAACCGCGGAGACGCCGGTTAAGCCCTGGAGGAGCTGCGGCGCGCACACGGTGTCCAGACCGGCGGAGGCCGCTGGAATGCCGAACGAGCGCACGGGGCCTCAGGGTCACAGTCAAGGCCAAACAACCGCACCGAGTAGAAAGCTGGAAGATCCCGGCTGCTCACTAGAAATGGTCGGTCTTTGATGAAAAAGAGATAAGAAATAACTCATCTGAATAGATGTGTGCAGAAGGGCTGGGAAAGGAAAAGAAGATGAACAAACCTGTCTGGGCAGAAAGGCTGTTTCCTTCCTTGGCTTGAATGATCAGATTGCATTGACCCACCTCGGGCCACGGGTGATCATAGGCTCTCATAGGCTCGGGCCCTGGTTCAGTCCAGCACTGGAGGCTGAGTGGATGGATGGCAGCCTGTGGTTCTAGAACCTAGGTAGGACTGGGGTCTCAGGGGCTCCTTTGCCGTGCAGTGCGTGGCAAACAGAATCTGACGCAACCTGTTAACTATAATAGAGGCTTTGTGTGCTTGGGGCTGGGTGGGTACTCCCACCCACTGACTGCCCCGTGGCGCCCCCAATCAGGTGGCAGGAATGGAGTTTGCTCTTGTCCCAGGATTCATGTGGATGCCCCGTTTGTAAACTGACTTGCAGGTGGGCACGGTAGGTTGGAGGCATGTGAAACAATTAAGCAGGTGCCTTCCTCCAGACTGTTTACAGCCTTTGGGTCCCAGCAGCCATGCTGTGGACTGTTGGGGGATTGTAGCCCCAAGTCTGTTCTGAACGGCCCCCAGCACAGACACTGCAGGAGGTCCACCCCCCCTCAAGCTTTGTTCTTCCGGATCCCCACATATCCACTTTTACCCATATCTTACACCCCATAGGACTCCCCCTTCCCCAGTCCTGTTCCCTCCCAGAGCTTTTATGCAGCCCGTTGCCGCCTAAGTATCCCTCTCCTCCATCAGCTATGAGTTTTGAGTCTCACAGCCAGGCCAGGCCCCAGACACCTGGCAGAAGCTTGGCTTGGAATGACTTTGTCCAAGGCCTCCAGGCTCTGGTCGAGCCCTGGCCTGGTTGGCCCGGGGAGGCCTCTTTGGTACCGCCCACTTGCACCTTCCTCTGGATTTCCGTCCTGGGAAATCCAATCTAAGCAGGCTGAAAGTAGGCTGGAGCCAGATCGGGTTTTCCAAAGAGCCGAGAGCAGACTGGGAAAATGGTGTCGGCTGGGGGGCGGAGGTGTCGGGGGGGGGGGGGGGGGTGCAGGTGAGTTCGGAGAGCCTCCCGAACACTGGTGTTTAAGGGTGAGTACACACCCACACCCTCAGCCTGCATTGCAATCTACAGCACAGTATGCAGATTGTGCAGTGTTACACGCGGGAGCGACAGGTGTGCGGGAGCCAGGTCCACACGACTTCCCTGCGGGCGATGGCCCGAGCGCTCGCCCGCCGCGCCCCAGCCTCTTCCCGCGGGTGGTTTTCGCCGGAGCACCTTTCTCCGTCCACTCCTTCAGCCGGGACAGAGGAGCGTCTACATCACACCCAGAGGGCCTGGGAGGTGGGGACTTTCTCTAACCTGATTCCAGTCCTCCAGCCTCCTCGGCGACGGAAACCCGTGCTTCCCAATCTGGGCTGAGGGCCCCCAGGCCGCCCTGAATTCAGGCGGAGGGTTCCAGAAAGGCGGAGAAGGTCCCGTGAAGCCCGAGGAAACCCAGTCTCCTGCAGGAAGGTGAGGAGAGGGGCGAGGGCAGGTGGGGAGAAGCGCCACCGTCACGTGCCTCCAGGGAGAGGCTTTCGTGGGGCTGCCTCTGCCCTTCCCGTTTTCCGCCCTGGGGCCCCAGCGCCAGGATTCTTCGGTGGCTGTAAGATCCTAAAGCGGCGCTGGTGGCAATGAAGCCGCCCAGAAGTGGGAGCCAGACTCGGGCTTCGGCACCAAAACGCAGGACAAGTGAGTTCTGGGCGCCCTCTAGGGGCCACACGGGGAGAGGCGCCTTAACAGAGGCCGGGGAAATTGAGTTGTGGGTGCGCAGGGACAGCCTGAGAGTAAAATAATCATAGTACTAACAGTGAACATTTCTGTATATTAGGTACTGTGAAAGTGTTATTAATTCCAAATCAACGCTCTATAAGACAAGTGGTGTGTGTGTGTGTGTGTGTGTGTGTGTACGTGTGTACAGTTCCCAGGGCTTGAACTTGGGTCCTGGGTGCTATCCCTGAGCTTTTTTTTTTACTAAAGACTAACACCCTACCACCTTGAGCCACAGGTCCACTTATGGCTTTTTGGTGGTAAATTGGAGATAAGAGTCTCATGGATTTTCCTGTCTGAGCCGGCTTTAAACCACGATTCCCAGATCCCAGCTTCCCGAATA